GAAATCTTGAATGCTGTCAGGCTACTGAAGGTCATCCAGGAAAGCACCAGGACCAGATGGAAACCCCCCCCCCCGAAGCACTGAAAACGAACCCAAGACTGTAGCAGATATGCTGACGCCATTATTGCGAAAGATTTGGAAGGAAGAAAAGGTACCTGTCGATTGGAAGAAAGGTAACCTTGTCAAGCTACCAAAGAGGAGCAACTTAGGCCTGTACAAGAACTGACGTGGAATCATGCTTTTATCCACGCCAAGTAAAATACTATGTCGCATCATCCTGGAGAGAATTAAAGATGCACTGGATGCAGAACTCCTCCAGCCAGGAACAAGCTGGGTCCAGAAAGGAAAATCGTCTTCTGGTCAAATTGCAACTCTACGCATCATCATCATTGAACAAAGAGTAGTATGGCAGTCGAACAAGTACGATAACCTTATTGACTTCGAAAAGGCCTTCGACAGACAGTGTTGACCTAGAAGAAATTTGGAAACTACTCCAGCACTATGGTTTGAAGTGCCCAAATCTTTATCAACCTCATTCCACAACTATATGATAGTGGCGCGTGTCAGGTGATCCACAAAGGAAAACTCAGCGAAGCCTTTGGAGAGAATACAGGTGTAAGACAAGATTGCTTATAATCACCAACGATATTCCTAATTGTGATGGACTGGATCATACTTCAGACTGTGCGGAGGAAAGCAATGACGGGAATAGGCTGGACTGACTGGTGAGAAGTCTCTAGAAGATCTGGATTTCGCGTATGGATGATTTATGCTCAACGTCACACAAACTAGAAGACCTGCAGGTGGTAAACCAGCAAACTGGCTGAAGAGACGGGCAGCGAAGACAGGGGTGCAGGTGAACATAGAGAATACAGCAACAACAACAATCAGCATCAATCACCATCAACGGGAGAGATTTAACAGAGGCTGCTTCCTTCACTTATTTAGGAAACATGGTTTCAACCACAGGCGCTTGGAGCGGATGAAGATGTCCAAGCCAACCAGCCAGCCAGCCAGCCAGAATCAGAAAGGCAAGACAGACGCCTTCATTAGTCTGAAACCAGTTTGAAAGTCTTCTGCAATCAGCCAGCATAAACAAAAAGCTTCGGATATTCAACACAAATGGGACGTTAGTCAATTCTTTTGTAGGGGTCAGAAACTTGGCTGGTACGTCACGAAAGAGATTTCCAACAGTCTGGTTTGGACTTTTATCAACAGCTTCCCATTTCACTGGTTCCATATTGAAGTTCAAATGGCCGGCCAGCTGGGCATAAAGAATTAACAACAAACCAACCAAGAGTCGATTGCTCAACAAACATGTAGGAGAAAATGGAGATGGGTCGGGCATGCGTTGAATGACATCGTGCACAATGCAGGTCATCGCTCAAGTGGAATGTGGATAGACAGTGACGATTAAGACGTTGGAGCGAGGGTGACATGAAAGATATCGTGTAAGTTGGAGGAGATGAGAGATTAAGATCATTCGTGGATCCATCTGAAGTGCACACGGGAAGACAGAAGAAATCGGAGATGTGTTATTGAGGCCCTATGTTCCATTTGAAAGTCAAGAGAGTAATAACAATCATATATTTAATTTACGATAGATTATGAACGCAAAAAACAGCTGAATTTCCTTGATCTTAGCACAAAGTTAACAAATAATGGAACCACTGAAAAAAATGCTATAGAAGAGAAACACTGACAAGTAAGCACTTGAATTGTCATAGCTATTGTCCAACTGCCTACAAACGAAGTTTAAGTATTGGTTTGTAGGGATTTGGTTGATTGGTTACAGGATTTCATAATGAGCTGACATTGGTTAGAGAATCATTGGAAAACCAGCTGAGAGTACTGGAAAGATGTTTCTTCCTAATTTGGTAGTCTTCAACAGTACGCACCCATCAGGGTTCGAACCCAGGACCTTCTGGGTGATGAAATCCTGTAACCAATCAACCAAATCCCTACAAACCAATACTTGAATATCAATGAGATGCTCACCAGCGACTAGCCCTATTCAGGTAGGTAGTTACCTGGGTTCTAGTGAGAAGTCGTGACCGGTGGGGTATTGCAGGTCGGGTGTGAGGACAAATACTTGCCGAGGACATTGGCTAGCGGTCACACTAGTTCGTGAATGGACAGAAATTGGAATTAATGGATTGCCCATTGAGTAGGCTCCCAGTGGCTTAATGGTTTACAAGCCCTCTGGCCTTGTAACCAGAAGGTCCTGGGTTCGAACCTCGGTGGGTGCATACTGATGAGGAGTCCAAAGCTACGACGAAACAGCTGTCCAGTACTGCCAGCTGGTATTTTAATGGTTCCCTAACCAATGTCAGCTCATGATGAAATCCTGTAACCAAACGAAGATTAGTTGGAACGTCATTAAGTAGATTTAGGACATTATTTATTTTATTTTTTTATTTTTGATTACAGCTTGATTCCACACTGTATTTTTGGTACAAGTATGGAATTTTCAGCGTGGATATCGGCAGCCCAAATTTTGCAGACCGACCATTGATATCAGGTGTGCGTCGATGAGGGCTCGAACCCCGGACCATGTGTATGGTCGGCGAGAGTCCTAACCACTGTGCCACCGACGCACTTAAATAAAAAAAAATAAAATAATTTATATGCGACTGCAATTCAAGGGCAACATATCAAGTGAGATAATTACGAAGAAATTAAGAAAATCAGTTTTAAGAACTTTTAATGCTGGCGAACTACACGTATTGTTCTCTACACGACCGTTGGTGCTAACTTGACTGAAAGATGAAGTACCTAGTCTAGCTAGCCACTTCAAATTGTATCTACCAATTCAACTGCCCTTCTGTGGTGGAGTGAGTTATGTTAGCCGTTGCTCTGGGAACGTGAATTTTCGTACTCAAGAACATCTTCCACTATGGCTAAGCAAAGGTGTGGTTAAAACCATTAACAGTTCAATATTGGACCATCTGGTGCAAACCGGCCGGCCACAAAGCCAGCCAGAGTGGAAGAATCCTTCTCTATCATCACCTACCGGGTGCCTAATAAATTTCCAAAATCATTGAAGCACCGTATCCTCCAAAAGAGCACAGGCTATTGCAATTCGCCTCAAACAACCAGTGCTCTGTGTTCAAAAGAAGCAAGTCCAGCCCCTACTACTGCCCTGGCCAGCCTTCATTAGAGACTATAAATTCATGAATTTGCAATATTATCCTTCCTAATTTTTCTGACATTCAGCTTATTTTATGTTGATGCTATTAGGCTGTAATCTATCAATAATATTATTGATTCGATGTTATTTAAACAGCATTAATGTTGTTCATAACGCTAATTCATTCATTCACTATAATGTATATATAACTGTAGAGCCTGATGATGAAGGAGTTATCGAAAAGAGTATTCTTTGTTCAGTATCCATTCTTAAGGAAATTTTAAAAGGCATTTTTAATCAGTAATAATTTTGCTTTAAAAATTTAATCATAAAATGATTTCAGTAAGAGAACCATTGAAAATGGGGGAGTACTGGACAGCTCTTTCAACCTTGTTTCGGACTCTTCAGTAGTCAACATCCATGACTCCACCCACCAGTAGGTGTTGAACGCAAGAAATTTGGGTTACAAGACTGCCTGGTTAGCTAATTTATCACTGGGACAGTATTCACTGGTCAGCGAATCCATTCCAACCCCTGCCGAGTACCAAAATGAAGTTAGCTCACGATGAAACTTGAATTCAGTCAAAGCCTTGCAAAACAGAGTTTGAGGATTATTTTTTTGTTCATTGCTGACTGACTACAGGATGGAGTTACCTGAGGTTCTAGTGGAAGTAATGACCAGCAGACCCCAAAAAGTTGAGTTTGGGGACAAATACTCGCTGATAACACTTGCGCTGTACATATCACCAATTGGCGGAAGTTAGAATTAACAGGTCGTTATATTCTGTCTCAGTGTCTAATTAATCTCTGAGTTCTTTAATTCGATTTTAGATTTTTACATGGACCGAAGTGCTCAAATCTCGGGTTGACATATTGGTTTCTTGTGTACATGCTTCCACGTAATTAGAACTTAATTGGTGGGTGGCGACTAGCAGTAGAATCCAGCCGAGATGCGCCTTCCGTCCTATTGGGGACTCGTCCGCCAGCTGGATGCACCTACATTCCGCAGCGAGTGATGTTGTCCCCATCGAAGCTCGAACCTAATGCCGAGCACTTCGGTCCAATCAATCGACAGGAAATTCTAAAATTGAATTAAACAATTAATGTGAGCCGTTGCACAAGAGGTGGCTCTCGTGGCCCAAATGGTCTAGTGGATAATGCTTTGGCATTTGAAAATATGGGCACTGTGTTCGAGCCTCGGTGAGAACATCATCACTTACTGCGGAATGCAGGCACATCCAGCTGACGAGTCCCAAATGGGACGAGATGCGCGTTATCCTGGATTCCACTGCTAGTCACCATCCACCAATTAATATTTGAGTTCGCCTCGTAGCCTGAAATTCACGGGTTTTATGTCTGATCGGTTCATTATTCCATATTGATGAAGTGTCCAAGACAAGGACGAAACAACCATCCAGTACTCCCTGGCTTGCAAAGCTTTTCTAATGGAAGTGAGATTGTGAACAAACTTGAAGCCCATCAAATCCCTTCGAACCAACATTTGAAAACTCTACTTTTACTTACCATTTCACTGATACTCTGTCTGCTTCAATATTTCATCTCATTATATATTAACAAACTCTGGTTGTTAGATTAATTAAATGTTCTACAACTATACCCTTTTATACTCTTTTTATCCTTCAAATATGTTCTAATATCAAGGCAAGCGGTTGAATGAAATTCTCGAAATAAAAAAGATAATCCTCCAATGAAATAATTAATTTGTGATTGTTTGCTTAGTAGAAGACTTTTCAAAATAGTACATTGCTGATGATTGGTTATTACGATAAATGGTCAATTATTTCGCCTTCATCTGATTGGTTAATTAAAATAACAGTTGTTTAAAGCATCTTAATTTATGCATTCAAGCGTTAAATCATAACGGTATGATAACTTAAGAATTGGAAAAATTCTAATGATTGATTCAATATTCAACAGACAACGACGGTGTAAATCAATCAATCAGTCAGTCAATCAATCAATAATGAATTCTTTATTATCACCACTAATATTGGATATTCTTAATACACATTAGCAATTATTTCCATCGACTGACTTTATCGTCCATTGACCACCTGTCAGTATCCTTCTACATGCACATTATTTATGCTTCATAAATTTGTTTGGAACACATTTTTAAATGTTCTATGAGTAGTATAAATCCTGGCTGAATTAAATAATAAGTGTACAACAGGATATCAGTTCTCGTCATTTCAACCAATCACTGCCAACAGGAGCAGTAGTGGTGGTTATATTACTACGAATCTGACTACATCCACGATTACAACTATCACTACTGCTACCACTAATATTACTACTCATAAAGACAATATAAGTAGTGGCATACCTAATAATAATAAAACTCAAAGGATTAATCATTTACAAGAACACCAAACTATCTATCAACAAAAGCCTAAAACTCCTAGTATTTGGTGGCAACACACCAATCATAATGTTATCAATGAAAACGCTACAGAGACTGAGGATAGTGATTGTCTATCCGGTAGAAATTGTCCCACCAGTAGTCAGTTTATACATAATAAATATACTGGATACAATCATGGTCAGCTTAAAACTGCAAATAATCGATATTTTATTACAAATAAATCAGAATTGGAAACGAAGACGAAAAGAGATCGACAGATTACGTTGAAGATACTCAGTGGTACATCTGGAGAAGATGAAGATGATGATATTGATTTTATAAATGACGATTATGACGACGAGGATGAGGATGATGAGAGTACTAGTCTGAGTCATTCAGATGTGAACAATTATCCATGCAGAAATCAGCAAAATGTTATGCAATATTCCCTCCCATTACCAGTACTTGTCCCTATCCCAATTATCACTCCACTTATAAGTAGAACATATCCAACAAATGTGATGATGCATTCAACAACATGTTGTCCAACTACACGAGATCAGTCTAGTGAAATGGAATCCGTGTCTTCCAGTCAGCTAGTGGTGAGTGCTTGACAGTGTAATATGTTATGTAATTTTTTTCAATGGCACCATGTGATTCTATTTGACATATTTGACATACTGAACGGCTCGAGTGTGAAATGAAACTCCCATCATCTGTCAGCTATATATCTATGGCGTGTTGGCAATGAGTCAACTTTATCTTGTACATAACTAACTTGGATGGACAAATGTGACTGGGTGAAGTTGTGAGTTTTCAGCTCGTGACCTAGAAGTTGACCTCTAAACAAATGAGTTATAGCTTCGTTTACTCTAGTGAAATGCATAACAAGGTGTGTGGTAGTAAATCTGCCTCCTATTCGTCTAAAATCTTTGCATTGTTGTCTCCAGTTGACTAATCCTCTCCCATCAGTCTCTGTTTGTAAATCAATACATATATTTTGTTTATGTGGAGAATTATTTGAATCGATTATGAATTGAAAGTATAAGAATACTGGTGATGATGAGGCGAGATGAATAAAACGCTGTCACTTTGGTTTTTATATATGATGAATCGAATTCAGTTTTCTTGTGAAATGGGATTAACGTGTTTTGTTGATAATAGTGAGGTTCACTGTAGTGATGTTGAACGCTCAACTGATAGAATGTGGTTGATATGGCTGACACACTAGGTTTCGGTGATTGTGTTGGACCCTGAGGATGACTTGACCACCTTATTTCTATTTGTCTTCAGTTTTATAGATATCAGAAAGAATGGATAATCTTTCATACAGTTGACTAATATGTATTGAAGGTGTGGGGTTAAGTAGAATCTTGTTGAATCTCTTAGCTTATGAACTCCCTGCCTTTAGGGTTTGAGTTCTCACATGTAGTTATGTTAATGCTTTATTATTAAACTTAAATAAGGGTTTAAAATCATCTACAGCGATCTGCTGTATAAATTGATGCATTGTCCTTCCTCTCTCTCTTCCTCTCCCTTCACCTGACAATATTACTTCTATTCAAGTGTTGGTTTGTAGGGATTTGATTGGTTACAGGATTTCATCATGAGCTGACATTGGTTAGAGAATCATTGGAAAACCAGCTGAGAGTACTGGACAGCTGTTTCGTCCTAGTTTGGGACTCTTCACAGTACTCACTCACCCAGGACCTTCTGGTTACAAGGCTAGTGAGCTAGTGGACCATTCATCAGCCACTGGGATTCGACCCAGTGGCCAGTCCATGAATTCTAACTTCTGAAAATTCACGACATAGCGTGACCCCTAGCCAATGTCTTCGACGAGTACTTGTCCTCACACCCGACCTGCTGCACCCTTCTGGTCACGACTTTTTACTATAACGCCAGGTAACTACCTTCTTGAATAGGGCAAGTCGCTAGTGAGCATGTCACTGATATTCAAGTATTGGTTTGTAGGGATTTGGTTGATTGGTTACTTGTACTTCATTCAAATGCACGGGAGTCTACAATGTGATGGTGAAGGCAAGGGTTGTTAGGCTTTAAGTGCCTAATTAATTAATTAATTATTTAGTATTATACTGACTAAGCCATACACTGAAAGCTATGCATATGGTAAGATTTTTAGACTGATATGTTTAAAGTAACAGCACAATTAGAAACCAAGGAGTACTGGAAAGCTGCTTGCGTTCACGACAGCGTCGGGGATCGAACCCAGAACCTTCAAGTTTTTCAAGCCAACCCACTAACCAATGGTTGGCCTATGAATTCATATTTCTCCCGGATTTCGGTATATAGCACTACCTCTAGCCATTCATTTATAGGTGATTGCTTGTTCTCACACAGGACTTGTTGGATGCCAGTGGTCACAACTCATTTAGAGAACTGCCGGCAACTTCATTACGTAGTCAGTCAGTCATTAAGGAATATCATTGAATGATAGTGACTATCGGCGGTGCTATACATGGAGACTTGACAGACTCTGACTTTTTCAATGATTCTCTAAGCGATGTCAATCGGAGGTTTTAGCTGACACTAATGAAATTCCTGAAATAAACACTTGATATAATTCCGATAAGAAAAATCTCACCTTGGAGATGGACACTAGTCACCTATTTTTTCTTTATTGTAATGTTCCACCCTTTTGCATTCTAAATGTAACATGGGGCTTCGAACTTTGGCTTTGTAATTTCAGTAACGATGGTGTTTTTACAGAGTGAAGTTGCTAGCCCCTCGTCCAACCTTCCCTCTGTATGCTGTCTACTGTTAAACAGTGAAGTAGGTGGGTTTTAGGTGTGCGTTGCCTAGCTGTTTAACTTAGATCATGTAGGTGATTGACAAGCATTCTACCAACAGGGCCAACGAGATATTTTAATTGTTCTGGTTTCATTTCAGTGGGTTTTTTTTTTACAATGATATCAATTGACTGACTAGCCAGTTGGTTTTATTTTTTATTTTCACGAAGCACACATGAACAAAAGTTTTGTTTACTAAAATTTTGTTTTACATACCTTTATAAAAAAAACCTTATATGACTCCTGTACTCAAAAACAAAATACTGAATGCTTATTCAAACTTTTCGTGACGAGTTATCACATTTTAGCGTTACTCCTAAAAATATCCAGTTGATTTTAACTTCCAAAGTGTATCTTTTAATCGGGTGGGATATTTTGTTGGTTTTTTCCCACATAACAGACATCTTTAATTCAATATTGACTGAATGACCACTTTTCTTTTCGTTACTTGGGTTGAACACAGGGTAGAAAGCTTTAAAGGTTTTGAAGTTTCAGTAGCATTGATGTTATTTTTAACAGGGTAGAGTAGCTAGCCTCACTCATAACCTTCTTTTTTTCTATTCCGGAGCTGATTGTTTGAGCCGAATCTCCAAGTGGTTGGCAAGTATTTTATGTCTTTGAATCTCTGGTATGGCTTAATGTACGTTAACTAAACGATGATTGAAAGGTTCTTACTATTTTCTATTATTCATTCACTGAAATTGAGTAAGACAGGGCTGCCTACTATCGTCAATGATTTTCTTGACTGCGGTAGACTGGATAATACAACAGACAGCGGGCAGCGAATAAACAGGCAAAAAATGGACCAACACAAAAACTTGGAGGATCTGGACTTCGCTCACGATGATATATGTCTGATTTCCCACAAAGACTGGAAGATATGTAAGTGACAACCAACAAGCTGGCAGAAGAAGCATCAAAGATAGGACTTCACTCCGAGTGAACATAGAGAAAACAGAGGCGATGAAGATTCCTGGCCAACAACAACAGCTACAACCACAAGAACGGACAAAAATCAGCATAAATGGAGGAAAACTGAAGGAAGCAACCTCCACTATCTATCTACCTACGCAACTACCTATCTACCTATTTAATTGGGAAGCATCGTTTCAACTACAGGTGGATGGAACTGGTGAGGATATCAAAGCAGCGAGGATCGGGAAAGCGAGGTAAGCCTTCATTCCTCTCAAGTTTGTGTGGAGATCAACATCGCGCCACTCAGCATGGGAAATAAGATCTGTATTTTCAACTCCAATGTGATATCAGTGCTACTTCATGGATTAGAGACTTGGCGTGTCATGAAGAGTACTTTGAAGAAACTACAGAACTTCATCAATAGGTGTCTTTGCTCAATACTGAAGATGAGATGGCCAGAAAAGATCAGCAACAGGGATATCTGGCAATGAGCAAACCAACCAGGAACCGACTGTGCAACAAATTTGCAGGAAGAAATGGAGATGGATTGGCCATACTATGAGAAAACAAACTATCAAGTGACATCACACGCTTGGCCATTGTTCGAGTGAAACCCGAATGGCAAGCGGCGAGTTAGTTGGTCGTCAGTACGAGGGTGATATGAAGGAAGAGGTGATGTGAAGAGAAGATGAAAGCACGTGGACAGACGTTGAGCCAGGTTAAAACGTTGGCAGAGAACCGAAAGCAATGCAGACGTGTGGTTGAAGTCCCATGTTCTTCTAAGAACCAAAGGAAACAATAAATAGTAATATAATAATTCACTGAAATCGAATCTCTGTTGACTAATATACCTCAAAGTATTATTGTATTAAAAGATAGAAATAGTTTTTTTAAGATCAACTGAGTGAAGAAATAAACAGATTCATTGTAATTTTTTAAATGTTGATATACGGGCATTCGATTAATTCCAAATTTATAAAAAACAATCGCTTGAAAATTAATATATACTGCTCATTAGTAACTGACTACAAGATGAAGTGACTTGGAGTTCTATTCACACATTGTGATCAGTAAGATCTACTAAGTTTGATATGGGGACAGATGCTCACAGATAATATTGGTTGGCGGTGAGACCACATTTATTATTATTATATCCTTTAATTCCTAGAGGAACATAGGGCTCCAGCCGCGCGTCTCCATTACCTTCGGTTCTCTGCTAGAGTTTTCACCTGGCTCCAAGTCTGCCCACATGCTTTCATCTCCTCTTCACATGACGTCCTCCAAGTCACCATTTCGCTGACGACCGACTCGCAGCTTCCCTTTCGGTCGGGTTCCACTCGAGCAATGGCTTGTCTAGTGATGTCACTTGATGGTTTGTTTCCTCAGAGTATGGCCAATCCATCTCCATTTCTTCCTGCCTATTTGTTTCACAATCGGTTCCTGCTGTGTTGGTTCTCTCATTGTCAGAGATCCCTGTTGCTGATCTTTTCTGGCCGGCCATCTGTTCTTGAGTAATGAGCGAAGACAACTGTCAATGAAGGTCTGTAGTTTGTTTGAGATGCTCTTTATGACGCGCCAAGTCTCTGATCCATATAGTAGCACTGACTTCACATTGAAGTTGAAAATCTGGATCTTGTTTTTCATGCTGAGTAGTTCTGCTGACCTCCACACAGACTTGAGAGAAATTAAAGTTTGCCTTGCTTTCCCGATTTTGGCTTTAATATCCTCACCAGTTCCGTCCACCTATAGTTGAAACGATACTTCCTAGTTAGTTGGTTAGTTAGTTACGTAGGTAGGTAGATAGTGGAGGTTGCTTCCTTCAGTTTTCCCCCATTTATGTTGATTTTTGTCCGTTGTTGTGGTTGTAGCTGTTGTTG